ACCTCTGGTCTAACCTTAACCTGAGGCCAGGTCTAACCACCACTTCAGGGAAGCCAGGACATTTTGCTATAAGAGCAAAATGCCATAAAGTAGTCTTACTCTACAGCTGTGTGTATTTGTTTGCACTATACACACCACCAGGTACATATTTGCATAAACTACTTTTGTTCTAGTCAAACTAGACAATGATGTCTTTGCTATCTTAATTTCTGGGAGAATTGTAGGTTTCATATAGTTCAGTAATCAGTCTTCAGGAACCAAAGTTAAGAATCCTAAAGTGATAGTAAATCTCCGTATTCCATTTTGTAGTGGAATTCATATTCAGTGGAAGTTATATACTACATAGCAACATTCAAAGAAAAAAGGAGACGAGAATCTCTTGGCAGTGCACTTAGTTCTTGCAGAGCCCTTTTATTTTCAAGTGGATATAATTTGAATACGTAATCCTGTCACAGGGTTTATTATACCAGTCTGCTTTTGTTAATTCTGGACTAAAATAGTGAATTGATATGTAGAAAACAAATGAAACCTCTCAAATTTTAACTATTGTTCCTCTCCTTTTTCAGGTATAGTCTCTCATATGTTCCTTTTGCAAGGTGAGTCTTCCTTAATTGCCCTCATTTTATAAAAATAAGTTAGCCTGTTCTATAACTTTTTTCAAAAGTATAATTTTCTTGAAAATCACATCTTTTAACTTACTAATTTTGAAAAGCCAAATATAATATCCTCAGTCTTAATTTTTTTAGCATTTGGAGGATAATTGTTTAAATTAACAGTTGTACCATTAGTAGGTTTGGAAGGTTTAGATTTTTATTGGTATGTCTGTAAACATCGATGTCATCGTATATGCACAGATGAGAAAATATTTCCATCAAAATGTACAGATAGGCAGAGTAAGAAAAACGCTGCTTGAGAATTTACTCGAGTGTGATTTTTAAGGATATTTATTTTGTGTGTTTTGACATGTGATGACAGTTTGTGTGTTAACAGTTATAAAGTTTGAACTTTTTGAATCTCCACATCTGTCATTAAAAAATTGTCAGAACTCCAATAATTTCCTGCAACTGCGAACATGTAAATCAATAAAAATAAAAAAAAAGCTTAAACATGTAGATTATGGGTCAAAATTATAAAAAAATAAAAATTGAATTCTGCCAAGTCTACCATAACCAATGCCTGTTCTGAAGTTTAAGATGGGTGCAGATAAAGATACCCAGCAATTTACTTGTTAAAGCATTGTAGCATTTTCTCTAGTTTTAATCACCAAAATAATTGTTATAACATGCTACAACACTGCTTAGTTTAAGAATATTTCCTACATAGTTTCATATACATTTGACAATATTTGGTAGCTTAAATGGACACAATGAACTTGAAATCTAGTCAGCTTAAAAAAATTAAATAGTTTGTTAGTAAATTTGTTTTTGAATCACCTGCCAGTGTTTGTGGCTTTGCCATTTTCCTGTTTTTTTTAAATCTGCCACTCCCTCCCACGCGCCCTCCTCCCCCGTTATTCCTATGTGAAAGACCCACGTGCCCAGGTGAAACTGGCATTACACACAGTGCCGTCCAATGCACAAAGTAAATACTATTTTTTTAGTTTAATTGAAAGATTAGAGAGAAACTATAGTGCAATTTGGACTTTTAACAGTATATTAAAACACTTCATTCTGATTTTTTTTTTACATTGACTGCTCCTATAAATATATCCTGCCTTGCTAAATTGTTCACAGTACCTCTCCTTTCATCTTGTATTTTCTCACTGCTTTTCTATAATAGTCCAATAAAACCTGACATAAGCCACAAAAATCTATGCTATAGATTCTTAGGTGTGGCAGAATTAAACCATAATATAAAATTTGTTATAGCAATAGGTGATCTCATTAATTCTAACAAGACTGTCTTCAAGATAGTTGCAAGCAGTGAAATAATTCATATTTAAATATTATAAAATGTCACCTTAATTTTGACACATCCAACTTCCTCAGTCCGATTACTAGCATTCTAAATTTCTACATTTCCGGCAATCTTGTCTCACTTTCTATAGGCTTATTTTTGTTCAGATCAGTTTAATTCATACTACTATGTTTTAGTATGCTCAAAGATATTAATAACCATTGGTACCTGGCCTTCTTTCTCTTGTTTGACTGCTGGTCTGATAAAACATGAGTTATATTATCTAAACAATTGAACTGAAGCAAATAAAAAGTGTCTATGTAATAAAAACAACGAACCCTATGATTTTTTGATAGGTTGTTGAAATACTGTACTAGCCTAATTCTTTTTCAGGTAACTGAAGTATTTGCTAGTATAAAATGCCATCACAAGTTGAGCTTCATACATTCTGTCTTATGCAAATAGTTGACTGAGTTATTACATGGTGCCAGGAAATGATATTGCGTAACTTGTCTAAAGTACTCATTTGTTTTAATTTACACTAAAAAAAAAATTGTAGCAACAAAAATACCCCAATGAGGCTTGTTCACTTCTAGTATACTGTGATCTGCCTTGTTTTTAGAACTCATTTTATTATATAAATCTTAATTATAGGACAGCTGTGTTGGGGCATGCGGAAATAACTTATTTCACTTAAACTCAAGAATATGGGGAGTCTCTGAATTTTCAAAGTGGCTAACAGCCAAGTACAAAAATTCTGCTGACTAGCAAATAATTAAGTTTTGGGAAAATAAAAATAAATGAGGTTGAACAAATTCAGACTAATCCAAACTGAACAGTATACAATCCAATTTACAAAATGCTCAATAGGGCAATGCCCCTTCAGATCTTTCAATCTCCCCACCGAGTTTAATAAGTTATCAGAATTCTGCATCTGACAAGTAATTAAAAGTTTCATTTTGTCATCCAAAATAGTGCATCATTGAATCTGTATGTTTTATAACTAATTTTGGGAAATGTAACACAAAATATTATGTAGTCAGAAAAATATTAGTGACCTGAATGTGGCCTGTAAAAAAATAAATGTTAATTGTTTTTGTTTTTTTAAGGGATGCTGTGATTAAATGCTTCACGTCCTGCCTGAGTTAGACCAAACAAAACAAACTATTCAACATCTTTTAAAAGCCAACTTTATATTTTTGTGAAGTTTGCTCAGAAAAATTATGAACTTCCACTCCTGAAACGACACCTGGTGACAGTTTTAGTATTTTCCTTGCCTTTTGCACGCTGGGGATTAAATCATTTTAGCAGAACCAAGTTTAAATATGAGCCAGGTAAACAGTGTTTTATCCCTGTCTGAACCATTTGGAAACTAGAATAGGTTTAACACTTTATGCAATGTAATCTTAAAACTGTTTGACTCAGTTTCTGTTAACACAGTTTAATGACAATTCAGGATTCTGGGTAATATGAGACAAAACTTTATATGAAACTTTTACATATTTCTTGTGTTATTACTATTTGTTCACTCTATGCGTTTCCCAAAGATCAGGATTTTGTCATTATTATAGAGAATTTTTTTAGTTAATTATAGCTGATAGGGCTGCTTTTAAATGTTTGTACATGTGTAGTATGGAGAAAGTTTGGTGTGAACATGAGAGGTCTGGTAAAAGCTTGCTCAGTTTTGTTATGCTTACATTTTAAGGACCAATTTTTTCATTTTGAAACTTAAAAAATATATTTGATTAAAATGGCTTATGGATAATATATAAATCAATGATTACAAAATAAATGAATTATTGTAAGTATTTAGACTATGTAATTTTTAGACTTGAGCCACATAGGCAGGAAAATTAAAACACGCTTGCAATATATATTTCACTTTTGAAATTAGTCAACACATTTTCAGTTATTACCTCAAATCTCTTTTGCTACCCCCTTTCCTATCTGTTGTCAGACTAAAAATAATTGTGTTGGTACATGTATGTAACTCAAACTGTCTCAGAATACACAAGTGACTTTAAAACATCTTTAATTTTTATGCGTTTTTTGAAAAAATGCTCCTGGTGGTATAATGTACATGAAGTGAATATATTACTATATGGAATACTCTAATAGGACACTCAATAAGGACAAATACAAAGTACTCCGCTTAGGAAGGAACAATCAGTTGCACAAATACAAAGTGGGAAATGACTGCCTACAAAGGAGTACTACAAAAAAGGATCTGGGGGTCATAGTGAATCACAAGCTAAGTAGGAGTCAACAGTGTAACACTGTTGCCAAAAAAAAAAAAAAAAGCAAACATCATTCTGGGATGCATTAGCAGGAATATTGTAAGCAAAACACGAAAAGTAATTCCTCCGCTCTACTCTGCGCTGATTAGGCCTCATCTGGAGTAGTGTGTCCAGTTCTGGGCACCACATTTCAGGAAAGATGTGGAGAAATTGGAGAGAGTCCAGAGAAGAATGACAAAAATGATTAAAGGTCTAAAAAACATGACCTATGAGGGAAGATTGAAAAAATTGGGTTTGTTTAGTTTGGAGAAGAGGAGACATAAGTTTTCAAGTACACCACTACCCCGATATAACGCTGTCCTTGAGAGCCAAAAAATCTTACCACGTTATAGGTGAAACAGTGTTATATCGAACTTGCTTTGATCTGCTGGATGCGCAGCCCCGCCCCCTGGAGCACTGTTTTACCATGTTGTATCCGAATTCGTGTTATATCGGGTTGCGTTATATTGGGGTAGAGGTGTACATAAAAGACTGTTACAAGGAGGAGGGAGAAAATTTGTTGTTCTTAACCTCTGAGGATAGGACAAGAAGCAATGGGCTTAAATTGCAGTAAGGGAGGTTTGGGTTGGACATTAGGAGAAACTTTCTAACTATCAGAGTGGTTAAGCACTGGAATAAATTGCCTAGGGGAGTGGTGGTATCTCCATTTGGAGATTTTTTTAACAGCAGGTTGGACAAACACCTGTCAGGAATAGTCTAGTCCTGCCTTGGGTGCAGGGGACTGGACTAGATGACCTCTCGAGGTCCTTTCCAGTTCTATGATTCTGTGAATATACTTTGCTTAGCTTCTGTGAAAGCAGTGTTTCTGGGGCAAGCCTTGGTTGAAATATTTTTCCAATTTTAGCTATTTAGGCATTGAAGGGCAAAGATAAGTCCTATGAGGATCCTGAAGCTACAGACAACCTAGCTCTTAGATGTCTGATGTTATGATGGTAGAAAGTTCTGTTTCCCGCTCTCCACCAGCAGTACCTCCACCTCTTCCAGGTTTAGCTTTAACAAGCTAGTCTTCATGTGAATGTTGACTCCTAGGCAGTGGGATGGCTGGGAGATAGTGTTTGTTTCCTTCACAGAAAATGCAGCATGGTGGCTACATTTTACTAGCATATGCATCCCTGTTGCCTTCAGTTTTGTATAGGTGTTAAATAGAACAGGGCTGGGGGAGAGGATTCAGAGGTGAGGACTCTGCTTTGAGGCGGAAGGACAAGGAAGCTATTGTATTGATTAATGCTAAACCCCTGTATGTAAGACAACAACAGCATTCCTCTGAAATTTATCAAATATGGTGAAGAGATCCTGCAGTATGGGTATGGTTTGATCAGCAGTTTAAGACATGTTGGCTTTACCAGTCAGTATGGGATTGCAGGGGGTGCATATCTTCTGGGTTGTCCTGTTGCAGCAGTTAGCCAATGGGACAGAATCTCTAAGAGACTGGCTCTCATTAGGTAGTCCTGGTCCCTTCAACAGGTTGTTGGGTTGATTAGCTAAGACACAGGGCAGTTGACATTAGCAAACAAGGCACAAGAGGGCCTTTCACTGCTCTGGCCTTCCCATCTTTGTTTTTGGTGGAGGGTATTAATAAATGTTGAGTTGATTGCAGTTCCATCTGGTGACTTCCACAGGTCACCTGGACTGCAGCAATTGTACAGATATTGATGGACATGGAAGAATTTCATGGAACGCCTTGTGGACTCCTGCTGTCAGTTGGAATGGAAATTAAAGGACAAATGAGCACTGGGGTTTTGTTTATATGCTTCATAGGATTGATTTGAGCAGCTGTTTCTGGCAGCAGGGATGTCAAAACCCTCTCTTTCCAGTGGGATAGACATTGGTTTCGTTCTCCCAAAACAATAGAAGTTGTATGATTTTTGGAGACGCCTTCCTTTTCCATGACCGATATCAACATGCCTTCTCAAGAGAAGAAGTAGACTTGTGGGTGAGCCTGAGCCATCCTACAAAGCCAAGGCTTTCTCAGGCAGTAGGCTGTTCTGGCTGTAGGCCATGATAGGCATCGAGAGTACATCAGGCTCTGAGAAGGCCTTGGTGTTAAACCTGGGATTCTTGTGCTTGGAATTTGAGCATCAAAAAGGGGTAAAGCAGGTGATGGGGAGCATTGATCGCCTTTTATCTTCCAAATTGCTGCCAAATCAGGTTGACCCAAAATGTTATCCTGTTATGGAATTAATAAGGTTGTGAACATTTGGCAAAAATGTCAGATATTTGTATTTGTCTTCATTAGCCTCTTCACTTCTCAGTGATACTTTAAATGCCCATTTTATAATTCCATCTATGCAGAAAGCATGCTTGGTCCATGAGAAAATATGGAAAAGGTAGACAAGACCTCTCATTTGACTGACAAGTTAAAAGAAACTAGCTTTAGGCTAAAACTATTCTACAGGTGTTATTCACAGATGCTAGCCACTTCAGTTGTCATTACTATACAGTCTGAAATCAAATGCTGCTGATCCACTCACCTTGTCTCATTACATATTTTAATTGTCTTCATTAATCAGTATCTTAGTAATTAGATCACTATCTAGAAAGTTCACTTCTGGAAAATTCAAGTTACATTCCATGCACATTCTATTACGAGAAATGTTTTGTCAGTTACAGCAGAATTCATCCTTTCTATAGTGAAGTGCAAGCATTTCCCCCTCAAAAAAATTGTTTCCCAATATTTTCATAAAATCAGAAAACGTAACTGAAAACTTTGTCATTAGTGAACTGAAATTAAAAGCAAAACCACTGACCTAGGCAGGAACTGCAGCAGTAGGATAACTGCTTATCATGGTCTCACTGTGTCAGCTACTTTCCTTATTTCCAGACACTATGCAATAACAGGACAAGTTGTCTGCATATACAACTGGACTCAACTCCACACAGTAAGAAACTTGCAATGCTACAGTTAAAAAATGTCCATAAATTTCAGGTACACTAATGAATCTTAAAAAAAATCTTCAATGAATGTTAAAATAGGGCCTCTCTAAGAACCAGCTGCTACAATTTTGCTCCCACCACTTGTGAATGGTAGTAATTAAGCTCCAGCTGATTAAATCAACATACATTTAACCCTTCATTTTAGTAGTTACATGGCCCCATTGTATTTATCCTCCCAGCACTCCTGTGAGGTAGGGAAGTACTGCTATCTCATTGTATGGGGTATAGAGGCACATGTTGAGCAAGTGACTTGTCCACAGTCCCACAGGAAATCTGTGGTGAAGCAGGGAATCCCAGGTCTCCCAAATCCCAGGCTAGTGTCCTAACAACTGGGTCATCCTTACTCTCCTGCTTTTAACATCTTATCTGATTTGGCTTTAACAATTGTCCTTGTTTCCACATTTTTCTCAATTAGAATACCATGTTCTGAAACATTGTCTTTAAGCCATATGATTCGCCCTTTGCAAACAGTCCTGCAAAATATTTCTCTGGTGTGGTTGCCCACATTCAATCACTAGCTGCTGTGGACTGTCTTATTATAACAATATGGTATAGCTACTTTGTTGGCCTACTTGAAAGAATAATTTTGATTATCTTCCACTGTTGCTCTGACTACTCTTTCTTTCTACACTCCCGGTGATCTCATCCATGCTCTTGGTGAATGTTACGTAACCACTGCTCTCTGCTGCAGCCTAATGTAGTTCTCCATCCCAGCCAGTCTTACATCTCAGCCTGTCTTACTGATATCTTCTCCTAGCTGTTCTACCAAATCCTCTCACTAATCTAACTTCTTCTTTTTTTTCTTTCCTAGGCTATCTCTCTTCCCTTTATCACTGCTGACAACTTCACTATCCTCCCCATCACTCATGTTTGCAAGCTGTTTTATGTAACTTTTTAAACTGGTCCCATAGTCAGTTAGTATAAGGGAAGGATATATTGGTTTCTCTTCTTACCCATCCATTCAGTTGGCTGGACCTTAATATTGGAATTATTGTGGGAAAGCTAACTAAAAAATGAGTAATACTTTATTTTGAAAGCAGTGAGGTGAGTTATCATTTTCTGGGTGGGAGACTGTGTTTATGTCCAAAACCTCATTTTGATTGCCTGGGTGAGCCTTTTTGATGGCACAGCCATGCAGCAGCTCTTAATAGTGACCAGCCTGAGGAACAGCAGCTCCATTCTGCTACCATACTCAGCTGGTAGAGGTTAAGTCTAGGAACAAGACAAAGATAAGAGATTAAGGGGGGGGGGGCTTAAAAGAGGCTGGTGGCTATGGCGAGGAGAGTGTGAATGAAGGATGAGGGGCTGAAAATGTAATGAAACTTCCACTGTGCCACCTTATTTCAGAAGAAATTTGTCCCTTGTAGGTCTCTTTAAATTTACTTATCAATGTAAAAAGGAAGTGGTAGCTATTGACTAGTTCACAACATTTTAGTAGAGAAGATGAACTGGTAAATTATAAATAGCTGTTGCAAAGGGGGAGGAAAGCATGTGGGGGACAGCAAAAGGGGAAAGTGACCATCTGAATAGATAAGGGAAGCATTTACAGTTTCTAAATTTGAACAATATATTCAGTGTTCCTTTTTTAATTTGTTTACTAGGAACTAATTATTACAATAGAAATATTTGTGATTTTTTTTAATATAAAAAGCAGTGACCCTCTGCAAGGGCTGCAGTAGGAGGGCATTAGTATTGCCCTAGCACTAGCTTTTAAAATACATCCTGAAATTCTGTGTCCTAATCGTTTACAGATGTAAATTTCATAATCTTGCTCAAACTGTGCTTACAGCTCTTGAGAACGTTTTGGGGGTTGTGTTTTGACGTCTCTGCCTCTTCCTCCTCACCGCTACTCTTTCCTCTTATTTTAATCTTAAAAAAAAAAAAAATCACGTCCCGTCTTTCCATCACGGCTCAAAGTGGGAGGTGAGCCGCAGCCCTCCCCGGTGAGTGCTTTCCCCCGCCCACTGTGCCCCGCCTCCCGCTCAGCCTCACTGCTGCGTGTCTGTCTCATTCATCGGGAGCCAGCGACGGAGCCTGGAGGTCCCAGCACGGTCGCGCTCTCCTATGGCGCTGCACCTGGGACCGATTCGTCCGCGGGGGATGCTCGGCCCTGCCCGGGGTGCGATCTGCCCTGAGCAGCTGTGAGGAGGTCACCCGGCACCACCATGTCCCTGCCGCCCATCCTGCCTCCCCCCGCCCCGGCCGCTATCCCCGCCGCCCCCCGAGCGCAGCCTAGGAAGCCGGCGGCCCCCAGGAAGGCAGCGCCGCCGCCGCCCGCCGAGGAGAAGCCACCGAGGAAGCCGCGGGGGACGCCCCCGGAGCGGGCCGGTCCCTTCCCCAGCTCCTGGCCCTGCGCCTCTCTGCAGAGGCAGCAACCGCGGAGGCCGGCCCCGGCTCCGCCACAGCCCCGCGGTCGCTCCTGCGAGACCCTGTGCGCGGCGGCGGGGCCGGAGGCGGGGGCTGGAGAGGCCGCTCTGCGCTTCTCGCTCAGCCTCCCCCCCGAGGCGGCCCTGGTGCTGCAGCGCCGCAGCCTGGAGAAGCAGCGGGGGCGGCCGAGCCCCTCCTCAGCCACCGAGCGCCTCCTGCCGGGCTCCCGGAGCAAGGCGGCCCCGGCCGTGGGGGGCTCGGCGCGGAGGGGGGCCCGGGCCGGGCCGGGGTCCAGCCCCGGGGACCTGCGCGCCCTGCTGAAGATCTCGCTGCTGAATGAGCGGCACCGCTACGACGACGTGGAGTACGAGGAGGAGGCGGCGCCGGGGGCCGTGGCGGACGAGGGGCTGGTGCGCAAATGCACCGAGTGGCTGCGCGGGGTGGAGAGCGCGGCCGGCCGGGACCGGGCCGACAAGCTGGAGACCCTGCCCCACCTGGGGGCCCTCTGAGCCTTGGGTGGCACCTGCCTGCCCATATCCCGGGGGCTCCCCATGTGATGTGCCCCGCAGCGGGGTTCTTCCTCTCTCTCTCTATTAAACCCCCCGGGAAGCTGGACAGCACTGTATCCTGCTCCAAAGCCACCTCACGTGTTCGTCTCCCCAGACTGAGAGCCACGGAGAGCGGAGTTTTAGTGCCGGGTTTAACCGCCCGCCTTGCTGCTATCCCCGCCTGAGGAACTGACTTGCGCTTTGACCCCGTGGGGGCTGGCGGCTGTTCCAGGCGCTACATAAACGGGAAAAAATGTATTTATAGCTGCTGTGTACTGTGTATTTTCATTCACATCTTGTGGGGAGAGAAAAAAGTGGGGGCTGACTAATCAGTGTTGTAGAGATGCTTCTCCTGATCCGGCTGGGCTGCTGGATGCTTTTTATCTGAAATCAGGAGACAGAGTTTCTAGCGGATGATGGACAGGACGGGGAGGTTAAAATCTGCACGTGGGGGTGTTTGAATGTGATCAAATGTGAGCAGAAACAGAGGCAAACGTTCTCAGCTAGTTAACTTACTGTAATGCAACAGGTGCTTAATCTGCTGTAAGAAGAACAGGAGTACTTGTGGCACCTTAGAGACTAACAAATTTGTTAGTCTCTAAGGTGCCACAAGTACTCCTGTTCTTTTTGCGGATACAGACTAACACGGCTGCTACTCTGTAATCTGCTGTATTCACTTCAGTGTTTTTTGTAGCAAAAGCTGACTCCTGACATTTGCAGGAATTGTTTATGATCTCTGGGTTAGGGTAGGGAGAGGAAGATGGGAGAAACTTGTTAAAACTATAGAGCCTTTATCAGAAACTATCACAAAAGTGTCTTTGTGTTAAACAACAAAGGGCAGTCAAGCAAAAAGGAAAACAAAACTGCTGCACAATACAGGCCCTCAAGACAAAGTGTTCAGTTACTGAAGGATAAATGTATTGATTTCCTTTTGAAAAGAAACTGCTTTGTAAATAGAGGTAGGGTACATTGATTTTGTCTTATTTGTACATAAAGGAACATTTTTATTTATTTGAATAAATGATTAAAGCCTTTTGTGTTGCAACAGCAGCACCTTTGTAACTGTGAATGGGGCTGTTTCTTAATCTGTTGCAGGCATCTGACTGTATTTAGTTGTGGGATTGAGAGAAAGATAAGCAGTGATTACACAAAGATAAAGATGGGCTGATAATATGCAGGGAATGTGCAGCTTATTTAGGATAATTTTATTTCCTTTCTAGACTAAAATGTCCAGAAGATTTAAAACGTAAGGAATTGGAACCAAAACCCTTACAGGTAGGGCCCTACCAAATTCACAGCTATGAAAAACGTGTCACAGACCATGAAAAGTGGTCTTTTGTGTGCGTTTACCCTATACTATACAGATTTCACAGGAGAGACCAGCATTTCTCAAATTGGGGGTCTGGACCCAAACGGGAGTTGGAGCAGGGTCTCAACAAGATTATTTTAGGGGGGGTCACAGTATTGCCACCCATATTTCTGTGCTGCCTTCACAGCTGGGCAACCGGAGAGCGGTGGCTGCTGGCTGGGAGCCCAGCTCTGAATGCAGAGCCGCCGCCAGCAGCAGCACAGAAGTAAGGGTGGTGTGGTATGGTATTAACACTCTTACTTCTGTGCTGCTGCTGGCAGGGCGCTGCCTTCAGAGCTGGGATCCCGGCCAGCAGCCATCGCTCTCTAGCTGCCCAGCTGTGAAGGCAACACCGCTGCCCGCACCAGCCCGGAAGTAAGGGTAGCAGTACAACCACCTCCCCTACAATAACCCTGTGACCTCCCCCCCCAACTCCTTTTTGGGTCAGGACCCTGACAATTACACTGTGATGTTTCAGATTTAAATAGCTGAAATCATGAAATTTACTATTTTTAAAAAACCTATGATCGTGAAATTGACCAAAATGAACCATGCATTTGGTAGGACCCTACTTATAGGAATATGAATTAAATCTAATGATTGTATTCAAATAAGCATAATCGTGCTGATTCAATTAGATGGATAGCTGGCCATGATTTAGGGAGTGTGCAGAACAGAGCAGGTTAAGATGAGCCCTTCAACTGGTTTGCACTCAACATGCAGAGCTGTAGCTCTACATATGTGTGTTATATATATGGAGCACTTACCTGGGTGTACAGTTTGAAAAAAGTGGCATTGTGCATGATCAGTGTATGAATGTTCTAACACTTATAATCACATTGTGTAAATTAAACTCTTTCCGACATGTTTAAGGGCACTTGTCTTGATTGAAAAAAATGAGATTTTAAAGTTGCTACATGCTAAACATATTTTAGTGGAGGTGGGGACCCTTTCTCTCTGCTCCACACTATTCAAAAACTTTAAAATGCACAGCAAAATAGTATTTAACCAAAAATTTCCCCCATCATTGAGGCTGGGAACAAATGTAAAAAATGTCAGTTGAAAGGACAGTGCCGGTAGTAGGCATAAGCAGACTAAGCAATTGTTTAGGGCCCTGAGTCGCTAAAGGAGGCCCCTTATTTGCTTTTTTAGTAAGTGTTGGGGGGGACCCAAAATATTCCTGTTTAGGGCCCCCAATGGGCTTAGCAACGTCTCTGAAGGGGTAAGTCTTTAAATAAAGTTAAGGGTGTGAAAACAGGCTGATAACTAAAGAGTCTCCCCAGCTACTTGTTGCCACCACAATACTATAATTTACTAACTTAGGAATTTTCTAAGTAAATACTTAAGATGCTGTGGCAAACCTTTCATAAGAAACACATTTGTTTAAACATTTATGAACATGTTAACTTGAATCTATCAAGTATGCTGTAAAGTGCTACTTAGTGTTAGAAATTAAGAACTATAAATGTTGCTTTGATGTAAAATGTTTCATGGGACTTTAAGAAAGATTCACTTTTTATGCAAATTGGTTTTAGCCTTTTATGCGGTGGATTACTCTGACGTTAAAGCAGCAGAGCAGAAAAAAATGGTCTATGTTGGCAATGCCATGAACTCCCAGGAGATTTTGTTTTTACAGTTAAATTGCTCAAAGTGATAGTGTGTATTTTAGCTTCATTTTAAATGACATTTCATTATTGAAATAGCTCTTTGATTTTGTTCCAGAAAGTTGGGCCTTTTCATACTCTCCCAATATAAGCCACAAAACCTATATGTCTGGATTTCTACTAATTAAATACCAGAGTGCTGGTGGCCATTGTAAAAATAATTCACTAATCTATCGCAAATGTGAAATAGTTGTGCTCACAAGCCCATAGAAAAATGTGGTGCATGAGAAAATAAGTCAAATAATTTAATGTTATTAAAAATCAATTTAGAGGCTGCTTTGTAATATTGTGTATGAAATGTAACTGCCACTTAAAATTTCCTTGCCATCTTTTAAACAATGCATTGCATATGCCTCTGTCGTAGCTGTTTGATTTAATTTTCAGTACAGCAAGAATATTAGCACCTTGAATCCATTCAGCCCTAGCAAATAGAAATTCCCTACACAAATCTGATTTCTACTGGATCAGTCTCAGACATTCCTTTTATGACCTCAGTGAAACAATAGTTGAAGTTTCACTTGGATTTTCTTTTCTTTTTGGCATCATTAATTGTAAGGTACCACGTTAGTCTGTTTTGGAAATTACTACTTATGGTTAAAGACAACTGCAATGTACTTTTATATACAAATATATTTAATCATTACATCTAGTTGCAAAGAACAGTCAACCACTTTTAAAGTATCAAGTATAAAAAAAATCTGTATATTTGGAACTTGCTAAGTTCAGTGTGAGGTGAGAATTCACCTCATATGAATTCCTGACAGCAGCATAAACTCTTGGTAGCATGATTTTATTCCATATGAAATCAAGTGAAATGAATTTAAAGGGAATATTACATCATGAGAAAATATGGAACACCTGAAGGCTAGTACTTGCTGTTGGAGATAGGTGGGGAAGCAAAATTCCAAAGACTCAAAGCATCAAGGAATTTATTATCCCTAATTGCTAATCTGATTGAAAATATCCAGTTTGAAGATTGCCAGTAGCATTTTTCTGAAGAATTAATTTCTGCAAAGGTACCCAGCTTTTACTGCATTTTGGGCTAGTGCACCACTGTGCCTTTGAATTAGAGATGGGCCTGAACCACTGGCTTAAGATTTGGGTCCAGATATTAAGGGTTACCAGTTTCTCAGATGTTTGAACCCATGAATTTGGTTTGTGTGCCTCTCCATTCTAGGTGCACAGTAAGCAGAAACCAACTTTACTTGAAATGAATATTTAGTGTTATTGACTGGAAGGATAACAAACATTGATGTTCATCTAAATGTGTCCATAAACCTCTACCTTATAACCAGTGTTTTCAGAAGTGTAACATGTTTTCCTTTGTACAGTAGTATTCTAAAGGTGAGATGGATGCAGAGGTTCAGCAACTGTTATTCACCTATGAGCCAGACAGGAAGTACAAACATTCATATGCTACAATCATCTTGTTGGCTCTTCAAAGAAGTACAGTAGCTTTCAGTGAACTCTGCTGAAGCCAGTGCTAATACATATATTTGCTTATGCCATCTGATTGGCTAATATAGCTTCAGACCTCAGTACTCATTTGTGAGGTAAACTCTAGAAAATGACATCACGAGAATGTTTTCATTCATTCAACTTTTCCACTGAACATACCAATAGCATTTCTAGTGGTCTGGATGCTGAGCCTCCCTGTCTTGCTTTGGGTCAGTTACTTTATGTGTTTTCCATCTGTAAAAAGGAGAACTTCACTCTCAGGGATGTTGTGAGTATTCATTAATGTTTGTAAAGTGCTTTGAAGAAGAAAAATGTTAAGTATTTTATTTCCTGTTAATACAGTATTATACTATTTCTTTGATGTGCATCACTGGACCTGTCAAAAGTTAACAAGCTCTTTAAACCTGTTTAAATTGTTAGTGCAGGCAGGCTGTACCTAAAATGACACTGCACTCTACATCTTTTGCAAACCACTTTCCTATGCAAAGATTTCCCTTTCACAACAGAATCCATCAATTTGTGGTTAGTGAATATTTTTCTGTTTTTTTGTGAGTTGACTTGATTTTGTTTGAAAAAGTGCCACATGTGATCGAGAAAGATGGACTCCTTTTTAAGACATTGGAGATGATTTTATCCTTCAAGAAGTGTGCATATCATGAACCGCTAGATATTTTTTTACAGATAAAATATGTCCTTAATTAATTGCGCTGTTAAACAACAATGGAATACCATTTATTTTAAATATTTTTAGATGTTTACTACATTTTCAAATGTATTCATTTCAATTACAACACAATACAAAGTGTACAGTTCTCACTTTTATATTTATTTTTATTACAAATATTTGCACTGTAAAAAACAAAGTATTTTTCAATTCACCTAATACAAGTACGGTAGTGCAATCTCTTTATCATGAAAGTTGAACTTACAAAAGTAGAATTATGTACAAAAAAAACTGCATTCAAAAATAAAACAATGCAAAACTTTAGAGCCTACAAGTCCACTCAGACTTCTTGGTCAGCCAATCACTCAGACAAACAAGGTTGGTTACAATTTGCAGGAGATAATGCTACCTGCTTCTTGTTTACAATGTCACCTGAAAGTAAGAACAGGTGTTCGCATGGCACTGTTATAGCTGGCGTTGCAAGATATTTACATGCCAGATGCGCTAAAGATTCATATGTCCCTTCGTGCTTCAACCACCATTCTAGAGGATATGCTTCCATGCTCATGATGGGTTCTGCTTGATAACGATCCAAAGCAGTGTGGACTGACGCATATTCATTTTCATCATCTGAGTCAGATGCCACCAGCAGAAGGTTGATTTTCTTTTTTGGTGGTTTGAGTTCTGTAGTTTCCACATTAGAGTGTTGCTCTTCTAAGACTTCTAAAAGCATGCTTCACACCTCATCCCTCTCAGATTTTGGATGGCACTTCAGATTCTTAAACCTTGGGTCGAGTGCTGAAGCTATTTTTAGAAATCTCA